TGGTATGTTGACTGACAAGCAATGATGCAAGCTTGCCAGTCAATGTGTTAGACTATCATGCTGTGATAGTGGCTCTGTGGGGAGTATTTAGATATTATAAAAGCTGGAATGGCTATTTACTACAACTGGTCAAGACAGGTTTTCATGAAAGTTTTGTCCCTTTTAATGAGAATTTGAGTTTTGGACTTTCACCCATTCATTGTTACACAGCTTTATATGCACATTTTTCTCCACCTCAGTTTGGGATAGGCAGAGGGAAGGGTAAAAAGAATGTACATGCCTTGAAGACTTCTCCAGATCTTCCATCTTTAACACTCCTGAATTTTAATGTGCAAGTCTCTCACTAGTTTGGAAGTTACATCCCCACCCCCAGTCTATCATAATTCACATCCTACATTTTTCCATCCCACCACCTCATTAGAAGCCAATATAGAACACGTTGCATTCAGTGATTAAATACCAGGCATTAACTCACCACTACCAGCTTCCCATCCACCAATTTTCTTATTAATGTGGTCTCTTTTCCATCCCATTTCTGCACCTGAATCAGTGAGCCATTGTCTAGTGTTATGATGCTCTGCAGAGACAAGGAAACAAAGTGTTGCTATTTAGTCTGTGTCCTGCAGGCTAAAGGAGATTTGTACACAAGTCCAACATTAACCGACCAGGTATCTGTGGTTCTGCAGAACACTTGTGGCACTTTTTCCCATGTTAGACATGCTAACTTCGAGGACAATTTTGAAATCCCTTCCCTCCCACAACCCCAGCTGGTTTTAAGGAAGACTCACCTTAACTTTCCTGTCATCTGCTGTGGTCTCCTCAAACTCCTCACCCAGCTTGAAAGAGATCTCTGTATTTTTGAAGGTGCTCTCTGTTTTGATGGTTATTACATCTCCATTGGTGCTTATGATTACATTGGGCTTGGCCACACCAGCCATTTTCCTAGTAGCAAAGCCCACACCTGTAGATCAGACATGAGACTATATTAGATAATCTATTCACTTCCAGAACACCCTCTTACCTAGTGTTGTTGCTTTCAGTTAAGGGGAGGCAGGGGATCAAGGATTTAAAACATTTATGACTTGTTTCCACAAGAATCTGCCCTTTCTCTTTATGTTTTAGTAATCCTGCATTTCAAGGCTGCCTGAAGCTTCTGATAAAAGCCATTCCAAGCCCAGTCCAGGGAATATGAAGTCAGGATTTTTTTGTACAGCCACTATTCTGAAGTGCAATGCAAATTAAATCCTTTTAGTGAATTAAACTCCAAGGGCATATGCAGCTGAATGTTTAAGAGCCCAGAGAATCCTGGTGAGTCAATTTCACCAAGTTATGCAACCTTTTACCTCCAAAGAGCATAAACATTTTTAGAGTGATTTAGATCCCCCCTGCTTTCCCCAAACCACTGTTTGCTACAGAACTAGTAGCAGTTGAAAAGTGACTAAAAGGAAAATTTTAGGAAAGAAGCTGGGTACACTAGTGCTCCCCATAAGATTTAGGAGAATTTTCCAGCGTGCTTAAGTCTCGTTAAGAAAAACAGGACTTAGAAGTCTGTTTGAGAATTTTGCTTCTAGTCTCTAAATGAAAGGCTTGTTAGATTACAGTACTAACTCAGAATAAGCTAGTCGGAGTCCCCGGTCAGTCTATGGGAGAGAAGACCCTTTAAAACCAACTTCAACTTAAAACTAGGAGTTTTTAGAGAAGCATATTACCCAGTCAAGACTTCTCCAGGTATCTAGTCAGGAGTCCATGCAATTCCCTAATTTAAAAGCACACTAGCCAGCTAGCAGCAACTACTTCCAGACCTTAAATTCCAGTTCCAATGAACCACAAATTCTAGTACTCCAATATCAACATAAGATTGTACTTCAATGAAACAGTTAGACAGAAATCCAGATTAGACAGGTGTTTAATTACTGACCTTATTATAGTCTCAGCTTTCTACTGTTTTGTGTTTCCAAGGCACTGAGCATGTCAATGGATTTTTCTACCCCAGACAATAGCACTACTGAATTATTTCTACTAGAAATTAATTATGCATTATTCAATTAACAGGATACTACTCCCTCCAGTCCAATTCCTTCTACATTAAGAAGCCTGACCACACTAAACCAAGCAACTAGCTTCCCCACGAACTCTGCAGTTTAAGATTGTCTGGCTAAGACAGTTTATCAGCCAGGGAAGGAGAGGGATAAAAAAAGAAAAAGAAAAAAAAAAAAAGACCCTTCCTGAATAGTACAGGAAAGTTCCCCAAGCCAGGAAGAAGAAGAAAGCTGGATTAAAATGCAAATTCAGTTATCTTTCCCTATGCAGACACAGATCTATAACCAGAGGTAACCTCACATAGCATTCCTTACCCAGTTCTCTCATATAGTCCTCAAAGTTTTCACTGGAAATGAGTTTCCAGGTGCCTACAAATAGATCACACATTATGTGAAGCTTATTAAACAGGCTTTTGCAGGAATCAGGCAACAGTTCTCAGTATCAGACAGGAAGGTGGTATGAATTCTATAAGACCACATAGCCTCTTTAAAAAGGAGCCTTGACCATGTGATCCTCTGGGATGCCCAATGGTGAGAGAGAATATCAGGAACTCCAATTATGAGCATTTCTCTTTTTTCCTTTTAGTAGGTCATAGTGTTGTTATTCCTTTATCCTCATTGGCACATGGATCACTGTGTCCTCAGCACTTAATGGTCTTTAGCATTCAAAAATACTTTGCCTTAAAGAAAAATATTTAAAAAGCATTTTGTTCAGGAAGAAAAGTCTGCAGCATTAGGCCCTGATCAGTGGGACAACTCACAGTGCTTAATAAAGTTAATCACGTGTAAATTTTTGCAGGATTGGAGTTTGACTCAGCTTCTGTTCAGCTGATATTTCTTGCACCTGCTTAGACCTTGCTATGACCCCAAGAACAGATTTTTGCCCTTTTCCTGCAACTGAATGTGCATGAGTGGCTCTCTGTCCATGTGGAACTCTGTTGTTAGTTGCAGGATCTGGGTTAGAGTTTATCCTAATCCCATTATAGTTGCACATCTATTAAAATATATTGTATTGTTCCTATCCACGGAATTCTATTGCTATTTGTTAAGTGCCAATGGCGTGCTTAGTGCAGAATAGGACAGGAAAGGAGACAATGTTCCTGCTCTTAGAAACTTGTGCCCAGATCCCCAAAGGTATTTAGGCACCTGACGTTCATTGAAATCAATGGGAGATAGGTGCCTAAATACCTTTGATGATCTGGTCCTTACAATCTAAACAGATGGACAGCAAAAACACTGGTAGAGCCATGGGATGGTTTGATTATAGAAATTTATGCTCCCTACTTCTTGTTGCATTTCTCCCCTCTTTATTAAACAAATATAGTTAGAGTAATAGATTTTTGAGACCAGAAGGGAGCATTATCATCTGACCTCCTGCAGAACACAAGCAACAGATTTCATACACAACACACCAGAACACATCCAGCACTCCTAGGCTTCATGTTAGAAGTGAGTTTTGAGGAGAGGGACCTTACTGAGGAGATTCCTATTAAAGCTGGACCTCTCTGAGCAAACCAGACAGCAGATCTTTTTTTCTGTCAAGGTTCAGGTAGCAGAAAGTGTGGTATGCTTGGGCAGGGAGGAGATTTCAGGTCAGTTAAACTGGTAAATTTCTGAAGCTCTACTGGAGTATCTAAGAGGGTTCTCCAATGAAGTGCCTGCTCTTTGTTGGTTTAAGCGCTGATTCTGTAAAGGGGCTCCAGGGAAATCCATGTGTCTGACTAGCCGCATTACATGCACAGGCTGCACTCTTCTCAACATGTGTCTTGCAACACATGCCGAGGGTTAATTACATCTCTCTTAGCTGGGCATCCAGCAAGTCTTCATTAGTTATAGCTTGTAAAGACTGAGCATTGTTGTGATGATCACAATCACTAGCAATCTTAAATGGGCTATCTATAAGGTAACAGATTGATTTTAAGGTGGTCTTGTTAGTTTTTAAAGTCATGGAAGGGGCTTGGTGATATTTGAGACCTAACTCCCCGCCCCCCCACGCACTCTCCAATTGAGCAGCATCTTGGCATGTATCTGTGTTCTGGCACCACCTACCCTTAGAAGTTTCACTATTGTGATTTATATCAGGGAAAGTGTGGTCTAGTGATTGGAGCACTAGAGTGGGACCCAGAGAAGACTTGGATTCTATTCTTAGCTCTTGGCACTCACCTGCTGTGTAATCTTGGACAAGTCACTGTGCCTTTGTTTCCCCTCCGACCCTTTGCCTTGTGTATTTAGATTGTCAGCTATTTGGGGCACGGACTATCTCGTTATGTGTTTGAACAACACCTAGCACAATGGGGCCCTGATCTCGATTGGGCCTCTAAGCACTATGTCTAAACACAAATAATAACTAATATTAGTATTAGAAGGCAACTGAGCTTTTACCATAGTGGCCAATGCATCATTTGCTCGACCCTCTTTCTAACTGCCTTTGAAGTTCCAGTGCCAAAAAGCAGCCCTTAAGGCAGTGGGAACATTCTGCTGGTGTAGAGCCATTGTAGAAGTTAAAATTGGGCATCTGGGCCCAAGCAGGGGTGCTGAGAGCCATTGAACCAAACTGTAAACCCTGTATGTGATGGAAACCACTTCAAGCCAGGAGGTGCTGCCGCACCCCCAGGACCTCTAGTTCCAGCACCTATGGGCCCAAGTGCTTTATAAATAACATTATTAATGGAATATTATTAGGAGTTTTTTTAAACAATTAACTTCTTGAACCTTCACACATCCCTTTAAGACTGTGCTGCTCTTGTCTTGGAATGGTGATTTTCTTATTTTGTTTTTTTATTTCTGGAAAAGCTATGTTTCAAATTGGGGTTACAATTGTGATTTTTTTAATCTTTTGCTGTATTTACTGACTGTGGATTTGTGCTAAAAGAAATCAAACTAAAATTCTATTGACTGGTGTCCATGATATCTTTCCTGATTGGTCGTCTCAGAATGTCACATGTTCAGATCAGCTTTAAAAACAGACTTTCAGGGCCTATATAGCTTATGCTCTTTGCTTGGCTCTCTCTTTGAGAACTACAGTTGTTTTCTTGAGTGTGTCTACCTAACAAATCCTCACAATGTGTGACCTGTTCCTGGGAATGTGGAAACTCCGCTCTAGTGAAAAATTTGATGACTACATGAAAGAGCTGGGTGAGTAATGTTGTAATGTGTGGGATTTAGAAAGGATGTGCTCTAGTTGAACTCTGCTCCTACATTTCTTCTCTCTGGCCCTGGGGATTCTGGCACTTTGCAGCTTCTTAGTGCTCATTTTTTCAGACGGGAAATGAGGTGTTTATTTTGAGAACTGTAAGCTGACAAGGGGAAGTGGCTCTCTGATGTGAACTGTTCTCAAAAAATGCTGCCCCTAGGGCTGCTCTTAATGGAAGACTAGGTATGTCTTTGGGGGGGGGGGGTAGTTATAGTGGACTACTGAAAAGAGAGAATAGAGGGGTGAGGTAACTAAACATTATGAAACTTAAATTCTAGGTAACATGGGGCCTAGGCCTCCACTGTATTGCATCTCCTGTAGTCATTTGTACCTGTGCAAAGTGACTACCAAATGCTACCTTTCTTAACTGGTCTTTCTTTGTCACTTTGCATGAATGACTCAAAGTGCAAATCAGTGAAGAATTAGGCCTATAGCTTTGTTTCAACAAAGCTTTGCTCATCTTATAAGTGAACTGGAATATCTTGCTGACTCTTATAGATGCTACCTCAACAAGGATATTGATTAATGTGCCTTTCTGTAATTTAACTCAAACTGTACATGAGAGGACTTCTCTGTGAGACATGATACACTTGTGCTTGTAACACTGTTGTTCTTTCTTAGTAAGACTACTATATACACTTTACTTCACCTCAGTTGAATTAAAGGGTCTAAACACTATGGTAACAAACTGCTGGTACAGAGAGCACAGTAAATTAGTCCTATTCTTACTCCTTTAACTTTTATCCCATGACCTTAATGTTTATCTCTAAGTATCTGAGACATTGTGTGTAACTTGCAGGTGTGAGTTTAGCCACCCGGAAACTGGGCAGCCTAACCAAACCCATTGTGACTATCAGCATTGATGGGGATGTGCTAACAATCCAAACCAAGAGCACTTTCAAAAGTACTGAGGTCTCCTTCAAGCTTGGGGAGGAGTTTGAGGAAACTACAGCAGATGACAGAAAAACAAAGGTGAGGGCTAAACAATGGGGGCAAAGTGACAAGCCTTATAGAGGCAAAACCCCAATCTTTCCTAACCCCCTGCAAACTGAATCACTTCTAACACTGCAGGACAGTGGGCTAAACACTTTACTTTATGTGAGGTTTTTGTTTGTTTTTTGGTAGAGTATTGTAACCTTAGATGATGGCTCACTGACTCAGGTGCAGAAGTGGAATGGCAAGGAGACCACAATAAAGAGAAGATTAGTGGATGGGAAGATGGTGGTGGTGAGTTCATTCCTGCTATTTGATCACTGAAAGTAGTATCTCAACAGTAAATGCTCTACAAGTTGAACTGTAGCAAAGATGACCAAGTAACTAACTTTAAGAAAAAAAAATCTGGAGGGAAAATCTTAGAGGCAAAGAACACTACCTTATGTCAGCACTTCATTGTTGCTTCTCCAAGCCCTGGTCTACACTGGGGGGGGGGAAATCAATCTAAGTTAAGCAACTTCAGCTACGTGAATAACATAGCTGAAGTCAACATACTTAGACCTACTCACCACAGTGTCTTCACTGCAGTGAGTTGACTGCTGCTGCTCCCCCGTCGACTCCGCCTCTGCCTCACGTGGTAGTGGAGTACAGTAGTTGACGGAGTGCTCAGGCGGGATTTATTGCGTCTAGACTAGATGTGATAAATCAATCCCCGCTGGATCGATCGCTGCCAATCTGGCGGGTAGTGAAGACATACCCATAGTGTTCTCTGAAAACTATGTGTGATAGTATTTGTTGAACTGCATATGGAAGCATTTTAGAATCATACTGTAACTTCCCCCCTTTTAGGAATGTACCATGAACAATGTCACATGCATCAGAATATATGAGAAAGCAAGAGGACACTAATCCCCGCCCACTGGACTAGAAACTCACTGAGATGGCTCTTGACAAGAAAGCTCCAGTATAAGCTTCTGTTTTCAACTCAAATGTGTACAGGCTTGTCTCAGAGAAACCATGTACTCGTGTAACGTATTAAACAAACAGGCTTTCAAACACTGAATATTGGAGTCCATATTCTTTGTTAGCTTGTAACTACTCATGGAGATTTGACTTTCAGAATTGTAAAAATGGAGATGAGATGAAGGTGTCGAGTCTGCCTTCTCCAGCCTACTCTGTCCTCCTCCATCCTTGTAGAATAATAGTGTTTCCAAGTTGCTTGTCTATTCTAGGCTTAAAATGCTTTAATATTCCACTAATTCTTTCTAATCTAGTCCAATAGATCTAGCTTAATGAAAGTCCACTTCTAGAAAGCTTTTCTGTAAACATAGGCTGGGATTTTGAAAGGTATATGAAGGCATAAGTACCTAACTCCCTTGAGGTTTGTGAATATTCCATCCTAATATTATAAGAAGGCTATGTCCCCTTGATCTACCCTAAACCATGAACATCTCCCCACAGACATTGAAATAACTTTACATTAATATCTTAGTTCTTAAAAGCTGTATCTCCTTCTCTAACTCTCTATATTAGAGATTCCACAAATGTAATGTGGATCCTCACATGATGGGAGAGGGTGCAACCTTCCCTCCACCTCTCTATTCTGTATGCTGGTTTTCCACTATTACCACTGATCAGTTCATAGGATGGGTTACATTGCTCATAATACACAAACCAATAATTCACACCAAAGTCTCTTATTTTAATGCATGAATGGGCTGGATGCCATTATAGCTGGTCAGAAGAAATGCAATGTACAACAGAATATACAATGCTATAGTTCCTGTCTAGTTTTCCTCACCTGAAAATACCAACTGATGAATGGGAAAAGCACTGCCTTCACTCATGTTAAAGAAATGAATGATAGTGATGCAAAGGAGGAAAAGTACTTTTGATCTCCTTCTGAAGCAGCAGGGATGGCCATGACTAGAGATGGCACATGGGAAGGACTGGGCCAGGGTTCTGGGATGGCAGCAAGCATTTTCTCTGATCACCAGATGTGGGGTTTGGACAGAATTTCCCCCTAGGTCAGATTGGCAGTGACCTTGAGGGTGGTGTGGATGTGGGTGCATCTCTTGCTAAGATTATTTGGGTATATCTCACTTAATCATTTCCCTGTTGTTGTTGGGGCAATGGGCAGTGGTGCACCTCAGTCCCTCCTATTTTCTGCCTGTGGAATAGAATAGTCTAGTCTCCTATGGGCTGTAATACTTAGCTTTAATTTCAGTTGTTGGATCTAGTGTGAGCCTGCTCGCCTGGGCTATACAAGAGATCAGACTAGATGAGCCAGTGGTTCCCTTCTAGCCTTGAATGCTATTGCGCGACCTGAAAGTGTAATCCACAGTGAAATCAAACTTTAGCAGAGCATTCAGCTAGCTTTGCTTTGAGGATAAATCTGACAGCACAAATGACGTCCTAAGGGAGATTAACAGTAGTTCTTTGTTACCTTGCACCTGGATTAGTCACTTACACATGTGTTTACAACGAAGCCACTCTGATCTGCTAGCATTTTATACTCTCTGTAATGTAGAGGAGAGAATTGACCTGTCTCTGGAATGCAGTAGTGTGCACTATAGCTTCTCATGTATGAACCAGTCCTTGAAGGAAGAACACAGGTGTGTGCCAGTCTAGTCATTCACTTTACATAAGACAATTAAGCTGCAGTATGGGGGCATCTTCTTACATTCCCATTACTAGAAAAGCAACAAACAATTCTACTGCCATATTTAACCAGATAAAAAGGGGAGAAAATAAGAACATTAATCCCTAGTCTTTACATCAATACATTTAGGCCCTAAGAGAGTAGGATGGATCCAATTTTTAACTTTTTATGCCCTTCCCCTAGGGAACCTACCATTTTATCTTCCCAATTCCTCCTGGGGTTGGGAATGCCTCTTCTTTCCACCAGTCTGTGCTTAGCACAGTAGACTTGTTTTCTGGGTCCTGATGACTTTTGTTTGCAGAAGTCAGCATTCAAGCCCTACCAGCAACATGTTCATCTCTAGTAAGGTGCACCCCTGCAGAAGCCACCTAATAACTTTACCATCCAGGCACCCTGGAGATGGGCTGATGACTTTGCAGGCTCTGCAAGCCTAAGAAGACTGAGGTTAGGGCAGCTTGGAATGTGCTGATTCAGCTGATCTCATGGGCAGTCTTCACTGTCATCCGAGTCTAAAGGTGTCTTCCTGCCAGTGGAAAAAGGGGGGATATTGCACATGCTTGAGCTCCAGGGGGTAAATCTTGCCTACTGTTTGTATGGTTCAAAGTACAGAAAGCAGCATCAGCTTAGTTAAAAAGCCAGGCACACAGCTGCCAGCATCAGAAAAACTCTGCCCAGTTGGCACTTCAGGGAGTGTCACGGCATGAAGGAAAAGACAGGATGAGGCTCATGTTATACAGGGTTGAAGATGACAATGGTGGGCTACATAGAGGAGAATAAAATGAGTCATCAAAAGAATCATTTTGGGGAGGTGACAAAGACAGCAGAGGGTGGAGGTGGCTTGGGGAAAAACAAAGCCCCAGTTCCAGCTGGGAAGCCTGAACTCTTGGAAGGAGAAGGCAGGCATTTTGGAGCACATACAAACAGACTGGAAGGACAAACTGTGGTGGCAGACAATGGTGTGAATTTCTTCTCTCAACTGAGAACTGCAGATACAAGGGTTCAGGAAGCAAGTTATCTACGCCAGCTTGGCTTGTCCAAGCCCACACCCAGACAAGCTAAGTTTAAAGGCTGCACTTTAAGGTGTCTTTTCTATTGCTTATACAAACAGAATTTTGTCTGAATGCCATGATGGGGCCTGAGTCTGCCACCCTGACTCCTCATGTAGTTCACTGATTGCAAAGAGTAAGGAACAAGATACCACTGTGAAGGAGTAAGGGCAGCAGAATCTGGCCCAAAATTTTAGACTTGACTGCTGACTTCGGTTACAAGTGCTAATTGAATCTAGGCCCAAAAATAATCTCTACACTTGGAGAAAAAAAATAGATAATAAATGGGTAGCACTGGTTCCAAGGAACCCAACGTCAAAAAGGAGGATACAATATCCAGACCACAGACAGCAAGCTGGGGCAGGGGTCATCTGTGCCAGCACAGAGTGATCCCTCAGAGTGCTAGAACACAAGGTATGTCTTTACGACACAGGTAACCTGGACTCTTACCTGGTTTTTATCTTAACTCCCCTATTGTCCACACTAAACAATCTCAGACCCAGGAAGTGCTTTAAACCCAGCCTAGCTTACCTGGCTGGGGCTATAGATTAGAACCCAGAATCCCTGGGCTGGAAATCACCCACTTTACAATGGGGATGCAGGCTAAATCACGTGTGTGCTGACAGTCCTCCATTGCTGTAATTTCTGATGCACCAGATTTGGTTCATTGAGTTCCAGTCCCACATTTTTCTTGTTTCCAGGCATTATCTTAACACAGTCTCTGAATTATATCAGTAGGCCTTTTTGTGTGTTCTAATTTAGTCTTTTCTTTTGCACCTTTACCCATCTACATTTGTTGTCATAGGTTATTGTGACAATTTATGAACTTTCACTCACTTTTCATAGTTGAGCTCACAATTAGGATAAATGTGTAGGCCCAATTATCACAACGTAATCCCTTTCTTTTATGAACCTATTCCACCTAGGATTGGACATTTGTTCATAAAGTCACAATTGCAAACAAAGATAGATCTTCATACGGTTAGAAAATGTGCTTGGGAGGCTGAAGTCCTGGATTCTATTCCCAGCTTTGGGTGGATTTCTTCTGCAACTTTATTACCCAGGGGTGGCGTTCACTTTCTTACAGCCAGTCTTCGAGCTGTTTACTGCCAGTGCCTTAGATTTTGGTTTTCTGATCAAAACAAAACTAGTGAAATGCTGGTGATTGGAGCCTCTGACATAGTCTTTCTCATTGGTCCCCCTGGCATATCACACGTTCATGGCATCTTCAGAAAGAAACAGTTGAGAGTTTCATAATTCACTGCAACTGTTTGTCACTGCTATGTGCTCTCAAACATATGTGATGTGTTTCTAGGGACCTGGAAACTTGTCTCCAGTGAAAACTTCGAGAGTTATATGAAAGCACTGGGTAAGAAATGTGTGTGAGTTCAATGTCTCTCACTTTCTTTTTAAAAGTTAATGTTGGTTTTAAGGTCGGCTCTTGGCTGTAATGAAAATTAACAACCTCTTGCTGCCTCTGGGACTCTCTGCTCTGCAGCTCATTAGTGAGGGGGAGTGAAGCTTTATTACTGTTGACTAGAAATAGGGGTTTTAGGATAACTGGTTAAAACATTTTTGGAAGCAAATACCTCAGGGTGGGATTTTAGAATCACAGTGGGACTATCTGAACCTTCTTGTCTCTTTCAGTTCTCACAACTATCTGTGGAAGGGGCTGGTGGGAATTCATTCTTGTGTGGGGGGGGGAGGGTTGGTGCTTCAGAAAAGACTTCATCTGAGCATGAAAAATGGTCACACAAATGCTCACTAAAACCTGTTTTTCTTAATTATGAAACAGCTAAAAACCTGAAGACCTAAATTCCAGAAATTGGTAACACTAAAGCAGAAGTATGGCTTCTCCTGGAAATTTATCTTGGCCTTATGGGGCTCAAATGATCTCTCTGGGCTTGTTACTAGGACTGATGAGTTGGCGATGCATGGCTTGAGTCGGGAGATGGGGCCCTTGCTGGACAGAAAGGGGAAGGAGGATGAGGGGGTTCAGTAAGAGAGAAGCTAACCTTGGTTTGGCTTTAAATCTGCAAAACTTCACTGGCCATGGCTTGGTTTTGCAAAATGGGTGGTGACTAGTCAGTCCCCATCTTCTCCAAACCACCAAAATCTAAGGGAGGGAGCAGGTAGGAGCTTGCCTAAATAGTTCAAAGCTGGGCTAGATGGGAAACTTCTTCTGTGCCTTGTAGGAAAACACTAAAGCAAGGAACTGGTTTAACACATTGTAAGTTAGCACCATTGCCTGCGGCTTTCAGCTCTGGTGGGATAGCTCAGTGTGTGGGAGGAACAGCTTGCAGATAGTCACAGGGGCTGCATCACAGCTATTGATTTGAACAAACAACCTCAAAT